CTATATATGATTATTTCTGTTACGCCTTATGGTGCAATAAAAATATAAGATTGCAAGACCGGACAAGTGTCCAATGTTAATGGACAAAGACTTAAACCCTAAATTGAGGGTAGTGTGCAGAGAGGCACAGTGGAGGCAGTAGAACTTCTAGATCTTATTTACTTAAACTAGAGAGGTCAGTTATCGTCGAGCTGTCGACGTTAAACTTAGCATTTATATGTTGTACTTTAGTTATTTTTATTTTTAGTTTTGCTTTAATTTTTAGGTTTTTAGTTTATTTTTAATGTTATTTTATTTCTAGCTTAGTTTAGGTTTAGGTTTATTAACAAAAAAAATAAAAATTGAAAAAACAGGAAAATATAAAAATTTGTCCTCAAAGCTCGAGCTTTCATTCTCAAGCTCGAGAGTTCCTACAGCACAGCCTTTGAGATTAGAGAGTTACATGCCAAGGTGGCAGAGCTGCAGGATGGATAGACATTGCTGCGACAGATGCTAATTGAGCAGCAGAACATTCTTGCAGAGCTTTTACGCCGCACTCCGTCTGCCGCTTCTACTCCTACAGATCATCTTCCACTTCCTATGGATTAGCTGTCTAGGGCTTGTTTATTTTTTGTTTTACATGATAGGCACTTTTTGAGGACTAGGGTAGTATTTTTGATGTTTTTCATTCTCTATATTATATTTATACCCTAAGTCTGTTATTCAAAACATTATACTGATTCTGATTATTTATATATATGTTTTTTGCCTATCTTATACTTGTGTTGATATTTGAGCTACATATGATATTTTTCTGTTATTACTCCGTATACTTGATACTCTGATGTGTGTTGAAGGTTGTTGATTTTGCCAGGTACTACAGACTAAGTTTTGGGGTGACTTTTCTATTTTTCCCTTCTGTGCTTCATATTGGTATATATTTGCTAGTCTGGTATAGTATGGTAATATCTTTCTAACTTTCTTTTATTTTCACACATTGAGGACAATGTGCACACTAAGTTTGGGGGGTAAGGGGAAATTCAAAATTTTGATGATACAACACAAGGTCCTGAAATTTGATGTTGCAAGCACGATTTTAAGTCTGTTGATTGTCATGTATTCTTTCTATAATCTGATGATGGTTAGAAATGGTCTGTATGCCAAAATAATTTTGAAAAGGAATTCTTGAAATTTTTTGAAATCAGTTGGTGGCCTGTGGTTCACTTTGTTAGGATGATTATTGTTTAATGATATTGATCTCTGAAATACTCCACTTTGCACATATTCACACTTGCATGAATTCAGTGGGGGTATGAATTGGAAGTCTTGTTTTGTTTTGAGTTAAACTGAGATGGGCAGGTGAATTTGACAATTTTAATAACCAAGGCATAAATAAAAAAAATAAATAAATGAAAGGAAAGAAAATGTATGTATGCAATAAATGAAAAAAATTCTTCACCAATGTGAATGGAAAAAAAAAAAAAGTAAAAAAGGGTTAAGTTCAGGTCTGTACCTAGATTGCTTGAGCAATTAAGTCCTTAGGGGTGTGTTCTAATACCTAATGCCCTAAGACCATCTGGTTTGGGAGTCATTGGCTGAATGCTTGTTACATAAGGGGTTTAGGTTGCCTAGATTACTTGAATAATTAGGTCTGGAGGGGTGCTTTATCACTTAATGCCCTTAGATCATCTGGTTTAGGAGTCATTGGCCGAAAGTTCGTTACATAGGTGATTTAGAAAGCTTAATAGACCTAAACATTGCACAGTATCCATTTTGAAAAATGCATACCAGTAGAAAAAAAAAATAATGCCTTGGGAGTTGGAATTTGAAAAGTTTGCTTCTGAGTTGAGGAATAACAAGAAATAAATGCAAGTATGGATAATAAGCCACATGTTTGACTGTAAGTTCACTTTTTAAGAATTTTAGAGATTGAGATTGTTGAATAAATGATTAAACTGACATATGGGGACCATAGCTGTTAAATTAAAATTGGAAGTTGAAAGTTTTTCTGATTAATATAATTGGTTATACTTGTTATATTTGATTGATTGATGAACTACAGGGATATTATGATTTGAAAACATGCTTGAATGAGCTTATTGTGCAATTAAGGCATTATTTGAGATGTTTGTGGGTACCATCACTAGAAACCCTCACGAGACTACAACTCGTCCACTAGGGGTAACCTAGGGGTCTAAATGCTTGTTGCATAGGCTAAATACAACTGTAATTCCCACGAAAGCTGCTCTTTAGTTCTATATTGCTAAGGGACTAGTAATATATAAGTTTAGGGGTGTGATGAACGCTGAATATTGCATATTCGAGCCCCTAAATATATGTATATTAAGACTTAAAGTAATACTTCTGTCCATTGTTACACGAATTTATGCTTATTGTGTGTTTATAGGTACTTTCCTAGAGAAATGGTTAAAACCGGGACTTTATGATGAAAAGACTAATATCGAAGCTTACGGAGTTGTTGCTGGTCATTCAAAGCAAGCCGAGAGCTTAAATGGTGAAGTTTGGAAGAATTTAAGTACCAAAGCTCGAGCCTAAGTTCTAAGGCTCGAGCCTTGTAAGAAAAAGAAGAAAATCAACAAAGCATTAAAGCTCGAGCCTTGTACCTCCAGAGCTCGAACCATACTCGGTGGTGCTCGAGCCTTACCCCAAGGTTCTTGAGCCTTGGCCTTTAAGCTCGAGCATGAGGCGTCGAAACTTGAAGAGTTGATTTAAAGAAAACGAAGCTCCTAGGGCCTCGTGCCAGACCTTAAGGATCGAGCAATATCATTCAAAGCTCGACCTTTGAGTCCCAAAAGCTCGAGCTTGGTACCTAAGGCTTAAGCCCTATAAAGCTTAGATTAAGCAATGTTAAAAGAAGAAAACTCCAAAATATTCTAAGTGCTGATGGAAAAGACGCTTCAAAAAATAGTTGAAGAAATTTGACTAAGTACAAAAGTGAAGATCTAGCACCATCCTTTGAAGCTCGAGCAATAATTTAAGAAAGCTCGAGATCTTTTTTTAAGCTCAAGCCTTCTAGGACAGATTGGATTTAAAGTTATAGGGATTATTTTTTTCCAAGTCTTATTTCACTCCAGATAGGCCAGAAAACCTAAAAGCCTACCAAACATTTTTTTTTTTCTATTAAAGAAGGCATAGGCCTTGATAGAAGAAGTTCCTTTTTCTCATATTTTTCAGAAGGCTGATATTGTGGTGGCAACTTTTAGGGTTTCCATAAGCTTAAAAGGTAAAGATCTTGAGAAGAGAAGTGCCGTCCGTGACGATGAAGACGACAACAACACAGATGATATTCTGCATCGTCATGAGTAGCTAATTCCTCTCTTAGGGCACTGATGTAACCCGATTAAAGTACTATGGTTTGATTGTTTGAACTCTAGGAGATTTTTAATATATATTATATTTCTGATTACATGATTATGAGCAATTGAGACAACTCAATTGGATTTTAATGTTTTAAATAGTTTCTGAAAAGTTATTACCATATCTTAAATATAACTATTCATAAACTATTCTCACCCCATTCTTATTGGACGTTATCTAGCGGAGCCCTACTGGACATAAGAATGGAAATAATGTAATGGTGTTCCAATGTTTTTTATAAATGAATATTTTCGTAGTCTATACTTAGGAAAGATGGATTGTTTACAAAATTAGTTAAAGTAGGTAGGTGGATAGTCCATGCTAACCGCAGATAGGTTATAGTTAACTGCAATTTATAAAACATCTTTCTTTAAAAACCGAATTGAACGAATGTGATTGAGTTCAATTCATTTGAAATATAAATTGTTAAATCCCCAGAGTTAAACAGTTAACCATAGTATGAAGGTCGTGGTGAAGTCAAAGCCCTAAGACTTTTCTCTCTCTGATCACTTTAGTTTAATTTCAGTTTAATTTTATTTTATGTTCGTGACAACCAATCTATCAATCAATTCAATCAAAGAACACTCATCTCCCTATGGGATTGACACCCTCTATATAGTACTATCCTACAAAGATTCATGCTATTGCGAGTAGTAATAAACTAACACACATCAGTAGTGTAGAAGTAATTTTTATGTGGATATGTTAGGTGAAATATGAGATGCTGTATTTATGAAACTGGTGACATATGTGATAGAAAAGTTGTGCTGTGAAAGTAAAATTATGTTTGCCACCAATTGTTTGCATATATAGTGCACACTTGATTTTATGTTACATGTATTTAATGTGGCAACATATGCCACATGTTAAGAAATGGATGCATGGATGGTAATGCATTATAGTAGTGTATTTCTGAAAATGCTGAAATATGTTATAGAAAAGTTGTGTTGTGAATGTAAAAGTATGTTTGCCACCAATTGTTTGCATATCTAGTGTACAGTTAAAACATGTTAGATATAATTGTTATGGAAATATATGGTACATGTTAGAAAATTCTTGTATGAATGATAATGCATGATAGTAGTGTAGAAGTAAATTTTATGTGGATATGTTAGGTGAAAAATGTGATGTTGTATTTTTGAAAGTGTTGACATATGCCATACAAATCTTATGTTGTTAAGATATACTTATTTTTTTGTTATGTCTTTTATAGGTCTATTATTATAGTTATGGTTATTAAAGATGCAATTATTAATATTGAAGAGACAGATATCGATTATGTCTGCGAATTTCCTGAAGTACAATGGAAACCCTGCGTTGACATGCAGTTTGATTCCGAAGAAGCCGCATATGAATTTTACAATGAATATGGTGGCAGAGTCGGTTTTAGTATTCGGAGAGAGTACAAAAACAACAGTCAGAAGGATGGAAAGCTAATATCTAGAAATTTTGTGTGTAGTAAGGAGGGAAAAAGGAGTGAAGACAAGAGGGACAAGAAAACAAAGAATCGATGGGCTGAATGACACACTGATTGTCGTGTACGCATGCTTATTGCATTTAATGTGGAATTTGGTAAGTACATTGTCAAAGATTTTAAAAAAACTCACAACCATCCCCTCATCAGTGAGGAGTGTTCCCACATGATGCCGTCGCAGCGAAAAATCAAGTCAGTGCAAGCTATTGATGCGGAGTTGGCTACCGATTGTGGAATATCCGTTCTTAAAGCCTTTGAGAGTTTGAGGCAAGCTAATGGTAGAAAAAGTATTAGCTTCATTAAGGTTGATGTACAAAATTATATTAGGATGAGAAGACGAAAAGACCTTGAACTTGGTGATGTGAATTGGCTGATGAATTATTTCAAAACACAGTCTTTGGAAGATCCATCATTCTTCTATGCTGTACAATTGGACAACGGTGCAATGATAACAAATATATTTTGGGCCGATGCAAAAATGATATCAGATTATGGCCATTTTTTAGATGTGGTGACATTTGATACTACGTACAAACTTGTTCATGGGAATTGGCCTTTTGCAGTTTTTCTTGATTTGAACCATCACCGGGAGACCGTTGTGTTTGGAGCAGCTTTTATATATGATGAGACAACGGATTATTTCGGTTGGTTATTCAATACATTTTTGAAAACCTTGTCCCATAAAGCACCAAGCACGATCTTGACCGACCAAGATACTGTAATGGCAAAGCCATTAATCTAGGTCATGCCCGATACAAAACACCTTCTATGTACATGGCACCTAATGCAAAATACCCAAAAGCATCTTGAGAATTTGTCTGTTGGTGGAAAAGGCATAAAAAGTGTGATATCAAAATTAATGTACAAGACTGAGGATGAAGAAGAATTCTTGGTGGAATAGGCGTTGACATTTTATAGTTTGTCCTGAATACCGTCTTACAATTTGTCATTTTTACCTTACGATGAATGGGTTCTCTTACTTCAAATTTTATTAAATTTCCAAGCAGATGTCAAGACTGTCTTTGTCAAGTGATTTCGGTGAGCATTCTCATGAACCCATTGTTACTTCTTCTAGACAGGTAATTTGAACTACTCCTAAAAAAAGGGTCATGAGTCTCCTATATGGCAACATTTTATTACAGAATTTGATAATGGGAAGCCAAATGGTGCTAAATACAAGTATTGTGGATCAAAATTCAAGTGGTTGGGTGAGAATGGGACTAGTGTTTTAAGAAAGCATTTTACAGTTTGTCCTAAATACTCTAACAAAGACAAGAAACAAAAGATTTTGTCATTACAATTGGGGACACAAAAAGATAGCAGTAGCCTCGGTGTTTGGAGCTTTGACTAAGAAAAATGTAAGCTAGCTCTTACTAAAATGAAAATTATAGATGAGTTGCCTTTCAAATTTGTATAACATGAAGGTTTTTGTTACTTTTGTAGCCTATTGCAACCGGATTTCAAAATTGTGTCATACATCACCGTGACAAGGGATTGTTTTGCATTGTATCTTAATGAGAAACAAAAATTGAAAGATTTGTTGTTGAAGCAAAACCACCGTGACAGAGGGGATTGTTTTGCATTGCATCGTAATGAGAAACAAAAATTGAAAGATTTGTTGTTGATGCCAAACCAAAGGATTTGCATTACTACAGATGCATGGACCTCACTACAAACCTATCTTATATGTGCAATACAACTCACTTTATTGATAATGACTGGAAATTGCATAAAAGAATAATAAACTTTTGTACACTTTATAGTCACAAAGGTGAGGCGATTGGTCAAGCAGTGGAAGAATGTTTGATGGGATGGGTATAAAGAAACTAGGTACTAATACTGTTGATAATGTGAGTTCAAATGATGTTGCTGTTGGATATTTGAAGAAAATGATTTCTAAGAATAATGAAACTTTCATGTTGGGTGGTGAGTTTTGTATGTTAGGTGTTATGCTCATATTCTCAATTTAGTTATGAAAGATAGGTTAAATGAACTGAAAGATTCAATAATTCAAATTTTTGGGGCAATAAAATATGTTAGGAGTTCTCCATAAAGAGAATAATGCTTCAAAACATGTGTAGAGAAGGAGAAGATAACAAGTAAAAGCTTTCTGTGCCTAGATGTTTCAACTAGGTGGAACTCCAATATTTAATGCTAGAGGCCGCAATAAAATTTCAAAAAGCATTTGAAAGATTACGATATGAAGATCAATTCAGATTAGAACTTACTAGCAATGATGGAATTCCTATAGCTAAATATTGAGATGATGCTCATTTTTTTACTCAAATCTTGCAAAAAAATCTATGATGCCACAGTTTGTTTGTCTGGTTCATTGTATGCCACTACTTATTTGTTCTTCCATGAAATTTGTGGCATTGAAACTAGCTTGGTTGAATGGTCCAAAAGTTTGGATCCTTATATATGTTCCATAGCAAGAAAAATGAAAATTAAGTTTGATAAGTATTGAGGAAATATTAAAAAGTTGAATGTAATGGTATTCATTGCAATTGCATTAGATCCTCGTTGTAAATTGAAGTATTTGAGTTTTTGTTTCTCCAAAATTCATGATCCAACCAAGGTAAATGTGATGATGAAAAGGATAGTAGATACAATGAATCGTCTTTTTGATAAGTATGAAAAGGTTGAGCTAGTTAGTTCATCTTTAATTCAAATTGAAAATGTTGAGAATATGGAGATTGACCAACACCAACTGGGGGCGATACAAATGATATGACCTCACTATCAAAGTTTGGAAAAAATTTAGAACAAGAAGAAAATGATAAAGGCAAAACTGAAGTGGACAAATATTTGGAGGACTTGAAAAGATTAGTCCAAACTTTTATGTTTTGAATCGGTGGAAGGTGAATAGTGTGAGGTATAAAGTTCTTTCTCAAGTTACAAGGGTCGTTTTAGCCATTCCCGTCTCTACTGATGCTTCCTAGTCCGCATTTAGTATGGGAGGTTGTGTTCTTGATCGATTCTGCAGTTCTCTTAGAACCTAATTTGTGGAATGGTTAATTTGTGGACAAGATTGGTTGTGTTCTTCAACGGTCCCAATTCAAGTGGAAAAAACCATGGCTCAAATTGAAGCAATTGAATCTGGAACCATTCATTTTATATAAAAATTAGTTTAAATCTATTTTGCTATTATTGAAATTATTATAAAATTGCGTGTTTTTGGCTTTTGTAGATGTAAGTCAAGTGACTACGGGAGTACTGAGAGTTAGCACTTAGTGGCATAATGGAATTGGAGCATTGGAGCAAGTGGTTATCAGTAATTGACTATCAGTGATGATGATTCAGTTTTTTTGAAGTGTAACCGAATATCAATAATTTAGTATCAGTTGATTATCAGTAAATCAGTATTCAGTAATTCAGTATCAGTTTTTTTGGAAGTATAATTGACTTGATTCAGTACCACTACCATGGGATGTAATATTATTCTGTATTTTTATTTTTTTGCTATTGTATTTTGTTTTTAACTATGGGCTCAAATCAGTTTGGGAATTGCACGGGAAAAAAAAATTATTTTGGAACTGTGGAACCTAACCGGTATTCACGGCTTGATGAGCGCTGAAAAGTACACTTTTAAACCCCTTAAGCTTGAGTATTCTAGGACCTTTATCTATCTTATTTTCCCGTTTTAGTACTTATTTGTGTTTTTGTCTATTTCCGGTCAATAATGTTAAAATGGGCTAAAAATTGTTTCTTAAGGCTTTTTTAGAGTCAAACTAAGTCTTGGTGAGGATCCGGAGCAAAAGGAGGCTGATTTAGAGCAAAAAGAGGCTGATCCTGAAAAGCTGCCAAGTGAGATCGATCATGAGATTGATCGCAGAAAGTGAGATCGATCAAAGTTGGATCGATCGAAAATCAAAATTGGATCGACCGAACTTTTCTTTGATCGATTGAACTTTTTCTCTGATCGATCGAACTTTTACTAGCAGCGATCTGTCTTATTCCCATGCGAGCCCAAAAGTCTACCTACCACATAGTACGGGATTAGATATTTTTGGAGCTATATTCCTGACTTAGTGACTAAGAAAAGGACCTTCTATAAAAAGAAAAGTGATCCATTTTGTAAAGAAGCTTTTTATCTTTTTATTTTTTACATTGTATTTTTTATTTCTCACTCTAGCAAAGTTAGAGATTAGGGTTAAAAGAAAAGGGGGAAGTGGAGGCACATCTCAAGATCCATCTCCAGACCACTCTCTTTCTCCATCTCTAGAGCTTCAAAGAAGAAGAAGAAGAAGATGGAGCCATATTTGGAGCTTGATTCCATGACCACATCCATCTCCTCCATGATTGCCTAAATCTATACTTAGGGCTTGGATGAGCCCTAAGTCTTGTGTAATCTAAACCCATGTATTTCTATTTTTAGGGATACACACACATATATATATATATATATATATATATATATATATATTGTTGTGATTAGTGCTCTAGTTTTGTGATTGTTGATTTAATTATTCGTTATGATTCTCTATTTTTATTACATGTTGTCTTATGTATGATTATTTGGGGAATTGATCTCTATACTATATTCTTTGTGTTGGTTGCATGTCTATGTGTGATTAATTAAGGATTTAGTGATGGCTAAGCATGGGTTTTCATTGAATGGGTTTGTCAATTAATTTGATGGTTTATACTTATGCTTGATGGGTTGTTCTACAATTTAATTCATGTTTATAGGTAGGTAGACAATTTATGCTTGCTTAGATATTCCATGGCTTATTATTGTAAATTTCACGATTCTCTAAATTGATGTGTGCTATAATTGTTACTAGTTAGATGGGTCATACTTAAAATTGATGGGTTGTGCTACACTTAGTTTAGGTAGACAATTCTTTCTTAAATTAGATGGTTCATGTTTAATATTGTAATTGGTAGTCGCATTTTGTTCACAACAATGTATTCCCCATTAATGGAAAACAAGTGGTTAATTACACGAGCTTAATGGTGATTCCAACACCCTAAGTCCTCTCTTCATATCTCTTAAATCCCTATCTCTAATTAGTTTTATTTCACTTTCATTTTAATTAATTGTTTTCTAGTTTAATCAACCAATCTCTATCTTTTGCAATCTTGTGATACGCTAGAGTTGAAGTTAAATTCCAACACGTATAATCTCTTGGGACGATCCCTTCTCACTCATACTACATAGTATAGGTGTTAACCGGTTTATAAATTTAAACTACAATGCCCACTTGACACTAATTTCCAAACTCAAAGTGTTGTGCATTATTTTGTTCACACGCTTGGGTCGCATCATAATTTTGGCGCCGTTGTCGGGGATTGACGGTTTTGTTGGAATTAAACTAGACAATAGTGTTCATTAGATTGCTTCTATTTTTATTTTATTTTCCATTGTATATTCTTTTCTTACTCTTGATATTATTTGTTCAATTAGGTACTTGACTACAAGGAAAGCACACATTGGATTTTAAAGCAATCATCGGAGCTTAAAGCTAGCATTGGAGTTTGAAGTTGTTTAAGAACCGTTGTGAGCAATTCTTGAAAATCTCGTAGTTTAATTGTTGCACTTCTTTACATGCTTATGATAGCCCTTGTTGAGGCTTATTATATTGTTCTATCTTTGTCCAAGCATAGGCCCTTGTTGAGGCCAATATTTTCTTGCATTTGGATTTTAATTGTAAATGGAGGAATTGTTTGATCTAAGTTTGGGGGGAAATTATATCCCTTCACCTTATGCTCCTCCATCATATTTTAATCCTTATAAGATTGAGTCCAATTCATTTAATTTAGATTGGAGTCAAGGGCATCATATTCCTTCTAGAAATCGATCATATCTGCTGACATCTAAGGCATGACCTACAGAATAAATACGCATCCCGAAAGAGCGAAAGCCAAAAGAACCCACATTGAAGAATTTTAGTTACAGTTTTCTTTACACTGAAATGACCTCCATATGCCAAACTGTGACAGAAGGTCAAAATACTATGAAATTCACTCTCAGGAACACATCTACGAATGATTTGATCAGCACAATATTAAAATAGTTGGGGAACTTCCCAATAGTACATCCTAATTTGGGAGAAGAATTGATTTTTTTCCTACTTTGATCAAGACAAAGGAATTTTTCCTATTGCAAGGTAATTCACAATATCAGCAAACTAAGTCAAATCCTTATGAGAAACCTCAAACAGTTGTTCATCCGGAAAGGAATCAAAAACTGGAAGTGAAGTTGAGGTATCCTCAATCAAAATTCTAGAAAGATGGTCAGCTACCACATTCTCTGACCCTTTCTTATCCCAGATTTCGTAATCAAACTCTTGAAGCTAGAGGATTCATCGAATCAAACGGGGTTTGGTTTCCTTTTTGGAAAGAAGATGTTTCAAAGTAGAATAATTAGAATAGACTACGACTTTGGAACCCAATAGATATAATCTAAATTTGTCCAAAGCAAAGACAACTGCAAGCAACTCTTTTTCAGTTGTGGTATAATTCAATTGTGCATCTGAAAGAGTTTTGTTCATATAGTAGATAACATGAGAAAGATTATCTACTCGTTGTCCCAAGACAGCACCTATAGCATAATCAGATGGATCACACATTATCTTAAATGGACGAGCCCAATCCGGAGGATTCATTATAGGAGCTGAAGAAAGAAGTGAGTGAAGCTTTTAAAAAGCTTTAAGGCATGATTCATCAAAGACAAAAGGAGCGACTTTACAAGTAGATTATACAAAGGACGGGAAATTTTGCTGTAATCTTTAATGAAGCATCAATAGAACCCGACATGCCCAAGAAATGATTGCACTCCCCTTACGGAGGTAGGTGGAGGCAATTTAGAGATCAAATATACTTTAGCTCTATCAATTTCAATACCTCTCTCTGAAATGATATGTCCTAAAACAATACCCTCTTGAACCATAAAATGGCTCTTCTCCCAACTAAGAATAAGATTGGTTTCCCAACAATTCTGAGGAACTAAGGAAAGATTTTGGAGACAGTTTTCGAATGTGGACCCGAAAACAGTGAAGTCATCCATAAAGACTTTGAGAAACTTTTTAACCATGTCCAAAAAGATAGACATCATACACCTCTGGAATGTTACTGGCACATTACATAATCCGAAAGGCATCCGTCTATATGCAAACGTACTGCATGGACAAATGAAAGTAGTTTTCTCTTGATCCTTAGGATCAATGGCTACCTGATTATAGCCGGAATATCTGTCTAAAAAGTAATAATAACTCTGGCCAGCCAATCGCTCTAGAATTTGATCAATGAATGGAAGTGGAAAATGATCTTTTCTAGTAGTGGAGTTGAGTTTTCGGTAACCAATACACACACGCCATCCAGTGGTGGTGCGCTGTGGAACTAATTCACCCTCGGAATTCTCAACTGCTGTAATACCTGTCTTTTTGGTACTACTTGAGTAGGACTCACTGTAATACCCCTAATTTTCAAAAGGATAGTCTCGGTATTTTGTTTAATTGTTTTCTGTTCATTAATTGTTTTATTTATGTTTTAATTGACTTTTCAATTAGTCCTGGTATTTCATTAATTGTTTAATTGCATTTTTTTTAATTTATTTAATTGGTTATTTATTTGTGTGTTTGGTTGCATTGATTATGTGATTGTTTATTGGTTATTTAAACTGGATTTTTGTTTTACTTTAATTGATTAATTGGTTAATTATTTTCTTTTAGTTGATTAATTGTTTTGATTTCATTGGTTTGTTTGTAGTTAATTATTTAATTGCTTTAGTTGAGTTGGTTTAATTAAATTTATTTAGTTTTAATGTGACTATATGGTTGGTTGCATATATAGTATACACATAAGTAACCGACATAGTTTTAACCTAGTTTTCTTTATGGGCTGAGTAGGTTATGTTTAGGGTTTAATTGAACCTAAGGTTAGTGGCCTATAAATATTCAAGTAATATTCTGACTAGGGTTTTAGAAAACTATAACGATATAGTAAGGGCTGAGGGACTTGGAGAAGGCTGGGAAGGAGAATATAGAGCAAACAAAGAGAGTTTCGACGGCAAATTGAGGCGAACGTCGGCGTAAGGCAAGTTCTATCCTTACTCTCTCCCTTAGGTTTCGTGTTCTTTACATTCTTAAACAGTTCTAGGACTAACTAAATCAACTAAACGCATGCTCTGTTCGTGCTTAAACTGAAACTTATCAGTATGTGTTGTATGCTTAAAAATTCTGTTAAAACGTGATTTTAAATTGCATAATTCTTTGTTTAAATCCATGTTAATGATGTATTAAGGGCTTAAACACAGACTAGGAACATACTGGGGTTTGGTTTCAACTTCTGGGAACCATAACGGTGAGTTACAGAAGGTGCAGAGTACGTCGGAGGAAGAAAAGATTAGGCAGAGAGACGGCTCACCCTTGGAGAGAGCCGGCTCCTTTATGATGGGAGGCGGCTCCCAAGGTGTGGGAGCCGGCTCTAAGGGTAAAAGTGCCGGCTCCACAATTTTAGAGCAGGCTCTTTGCTCTATTTTTCTTTTATTTTCATTTTCTGTACATTTTTGCATGCAGTGTATGAATTTTGGAGATTTCAGATGAGGTTTAGGTTTGTATGTGGGAAGTTTTTATAAAGCCTATAGTTGTATTAAGGCTCCAAGAGTCATGTTAAGAAACTAATTACTTATGGTAGCTTGGATAGTATATGGTTTAGACAAATTAATACACAGATTGTTAGAGTTGGAAGATTTAAATTGTTTAATCCTTTTGTTAACAAATTTTCCTGTGACGGATAATATAGTTGAGGCTTGTATCACAATACACTATGATCAGGTATTTCAATTATGCTATCTGGGGATGGGTTGATGTTTAATGGAACTATGGTTTAACTTTAACAATTTATTTAATCAAGGAGCAATATGAACTAAGTATGTTTATGTATACAGTTTATCATGCTTATTATAGATTAGTGGATGATTATATGATTATTGTTAGTAGCCACTGTTGGGGGAATAGACTTTGTTGATGTTTACTCTAAATGTCTGTAATATCAACTGTTAAGTGTTGAATGATAATTTGAAATAATTTTATCATTATACCTAACTGAATGAAACAACCTAAACTGAGTAGGTTTGTGTATATACAATGACTATGGTTCTTGATGCTTACATTATGCCTGTTAGTATCAGTGTTGGATATAAAAACTGAATCTGTTTATGTATATAGCTGATTCTGTTTATTGATGCTTATACTATGCTTGTTAGTATCAGTAATGGGAATATGGATTTAGCTGATGTTTGCTTTAATTGTTGATATTATTAACTGCTGGATGATTGGATAGTATACACTGGTATGGGACGGTGGTATACTAGGGACGCTTTGGTTTCAAAATACCAAAACCTACCTACTCTGGATTAAGAATTGGATTAACTAAAAGTTAAGTCCTATTGATTATAGTGTGATGGCAACAACTAGTTGAGAGGCACTACTTGGATTCAGGATGGATTTTAAATATATTGTTATGGTACCTCGAAATGAGCTTGAGTCTCAGGATCGACGGTTAGGGAGCGTATATGCATTGGGATGCATAGCTGGATACGATGGTTAAAGGTGTACCCTGTTTAGGTATAGGTACATATGCCCACTTCGTGTGCGTTTTAACATGTTACCTCTATTCAGGTTGAGACCGGCCTGTAGTCCAGTGAGAGTCCTTTAGTGTGACTATATATATACATGCGTATCGGGCCTCTGTTTGGATTGTAGTAATATAGAACTTGCGCGTGGGTCTGACCCACTTCTATTTTTCAGATACACGACAGTTCCAGGCTTAGACGTGTTCGTGCTGAGCAGAGGTCTCTATTCACTCTTCCGACAACGTAGGGTTCTATCCATAGCTTTATTTCTGGATGTTTATTACAGTTGTTTTATCTTCCGTTTGGATGTTTAATAGGGGTCCACTAGAAATGGATTCCCGAGTTGTAAACTGAAGGAGTTTTGGAGTTTGGGTTATCAGATTCTAAGTATTTAATTATAAAGGATTTTACTTTTAGTTTCTTCCAGCTTAAACTTTATTTTTTTCTTAAATTCATTTTTGTCATCTGTGTTCGTATTACATATTAATTGTTTGATATTCCCTCGGGTTTGGGCCTGGGCCTCATCAACCCGTGTCTCGGATCCGAGGGGTATCACAGTTGGTATCAGAGCACTCCAGGTTCAAGTGTCTCTAGGATGTTTTCGTATTAAGTCTTCCGCGTAGCGTTCTTTTGAATAGAGCTTAAGTTAGGATTCATTGTATTCCTTATAGTTCGTATAGAAATGGTACCGATGTCTGTCTTTTCGTGTTAACAGATGGTTAACGCTAGAAATGGACAAAACATGCAAGGAACTATGAAGGAAAGGAGAGCGGCACGTAGGCAACAATATCTCCTACGGCGTCAGCAAATGGAGGACGAGCAGAAAAGGCTTGGGTTTCAAGATGACATGGATCAGTGTCAGGAGGAACAGGAGAATGTTCAACAGACTCTGGACCAGGTCAGAG